GACTCTACTTCCAGCGGCCCCCAGGTCAGTGGAGTTTGAGACCCCTGCTCTAGTTGAATAAGGTCAGATAGCCAAGAATATTATAAATTGAAAGCTGGTTAAATTAATGTGGTGAAAACTTCAATATCATATTACATGTGGAAATTCTGAAAAGTGAAACAAATACATTCCCTTTCTTATTTATTCTTAAAAAATTTGCTAGTGCAAAAATGCCTTGGGCTAAAAATAATTTAACCCTAATTTTCTGTAACTCACACTTTCCCTGGAATGTACTTGTTCTGTGCTCCAAAAGCCAGTCTCACACAGAAGAGATAACATGAAGCAACTGTAGATCAGGAAATGGTATCAGCTGTGTCTATACAATTACACAGTTCACAATTTAAAGGCCCCATGCATACCATGCACAGTGCATTTCATATGCTGTCAAACCAGTCTTTTCATTCAAACCTGCAGCAGCCAAAAAAATTAAGGGTAAATATCCAGAACGCTCCCCTCTGTATGAAAAGTCTCTTAGATTCCATAATTATATAGAATTAAGAAGATCTGTCTGTATTTCACAAAGAGGACTATTTCCAGCACAGTGGGAATACACTGGGATCCCCTTGACTGAAAAGACTAACAGCATGTACATGTACTGGAACTACAGACTTCTTTTATAGCTGACTGATAAGATTGAGATAGTGTATATGCACTGGATTTACTGATTTCCTCTGCGATTAGGTGCATCTAAATGATAGTGCTGTATATATATTCTCCATTATTATAATTTTTACTCCTCACATACTACATATATTGTTGCTGTTGTGTGAGGTTTCTGACCCCACTGGGGGCCCTGTATTTTTCATTTTGTTGTATGTCTGTTGGCTGTTAGCCCTGATGACAAACCTGATTCTTAATCTTCAAAGGAAGTAGGATATTGAATACTCGTTGCTAGAGTAGCATATGGTGAGCTACTGATTTCATGCCTTACTTGTAGGCTTTACAGAGATATCTGATTGATCACTGTGGGAAACAAACACCTGATCTGAAACAGTGGAAGAGATCTTCTGTTCCCTTTGTCACATACTTGTAGTTTACATATAAACATACATATTGACAAGCCACACCCACTACTTGAGAGAGATTTTTAAAAACATTTGTATAATGGCAAACTGCTAAGTTTTGTTTGCTTTGGTTTTGACATTTTCTTTTCAATTACAAAATAATTTCTTCTGAGTTTATTACATTTTATCTGAGGTCTTCTATTAAAAGTCCCTGCTCAAAGGGAATAAAAAAGGGGGTACCACCTTTTTCATCCCAAGGGCCAAATTCTATTTTGGAGAATTTTATTCTAAGGGGCTGCAGTCCAGCAGCTAAGGAGGCTAAAGGCAAAAGTGAAAAGGCCAAAGATGAAGGAGGAAAAGTTAAACATCCCAAAGTGATCTGTACATTTTATTTTGACATTCTTACCACCAGTGACTAGATCTTAAGAGAGACATTTCAACATAATCAATGTATTTTTTGTATTGTTATATTTAATGGTAATTTATTATGTACTATTGTATTTCAATGTATTTTATCATGTTGTAAGCCGCCCCAAGGTTTCGGCAAGGGGCGGCATAGAAATGCTATAATAATAACAACAACAACAACAACAACAACAACAACAACAACAACATTCAAAAAGGGGGTGGGGGAAGCACACTATCTGGGAAACCACCAAAACAGTTGGTGGTTGGAGGAAATGAGGAGGGGTCAGTATGCAAGTGTATTTCCTTTTGGGGAACTCTGCATGGCTGGATTTGAACTGCAGGTCTGAGGTTCTCTACCCCTGAATTAAAACCATTTCCATTCAGTTTGATATTAAATGACATTGAACAAAACTTGGGTTTCACAATGGGTCAGTTCACACAACACAGGAACCCACCCTGCAAATAAGCTACCCAGTATGGGCCGTTCCTCAAGCAACCCATGGTGCAGTTGACAGATTAACAGGCTCACTGTGAGTTGTCCCTCCCTAACCCCGCCCTGGTCTTTCCACAGGTATGGGAGGTACCCATACCCATGTGGCAGAGACCACCTTGTCTCTTCTCTCTCTTGTGTTCACAACTTCTTCTATAGTCACTACAACTTCCCTCCCCAACCTTTTCGGGGAGCTCACTCCTGGTAAGGAAATAGCTCTATGGGTAAGTGTTAGTATAACCACACAAAGCTATAGGATCACCTTCATGTGGATTTTTTCACCTGACATACCAGGACTTCTGATGTGACAAACTGAAGAACTGAAGGGGTTGCAAAACACACTTGCATGCTGGTAAATTCAGTTTAGAAAGATTGCTACAATAAAAATGTGCAGCACTCGCTTTGTATTTAAATGTATTTAAAATTTGCTATGCGGTGGGGTAGGAGTAATTTAGGATAGCTCATACTGAGAATTTCTTCCAGTCAATTGGACAATTCACTTTTCAACAAATATTGCTATCATTCTACACATTTTATGTTCTCACTAGTCCATCAGAATTCCCAAGTGCATACAAATTAATGGTTCTGTTTTGCTCTCATGCCAACCCCATCCATCTAAACTGTTCCACCAGGCACATTAACAGAATTAAAAAGCTTCGATCACCTACTTGAGATCCAGGAGCTGCAATTCATGGTGCTGATTCCCCTGTATTGCCTTTAAATTTGAGTCTTGCTCTGTGTTTGAAGTCTCTATCTTGCCTAAAAGCTGCACTACCTAATAAGAATTCAATAGGGAACAACAGTTATGAGGCAGAACTCCAGCACTTACATTAAATACACATTATTGCTGCAGTAACTGTGGGGAACATCAGAGAGACCCATTCTTAAGAGCTTTTCTCAGAATTAGCTTAACTGAATAAAAACTTGCCATGAATTTGGGGAATTATTTGTACCTGGTATCGCTTGGATTTAATTCTGTGTATAGACTAGCAAGCTACACTATTTACCCTGCAATACCAAGCTTCCAGAGAGGGTTATATAATATGTTTTTCTCCCTAGCTATTGCAAATGGATTCTAGTAGGATCATAAAATGTTAAAAGATATGTGTAGGGGGCCGATCCAGTAAATCCGGTGTGTGCGACGATTGTTGTTTGTAGTTCTAGTTGTAAAATCTTAATAAAATTTTCAAAAAAAAAAGTGTTTTTTTTCCCTGAATGTGTAATTCAGCTTTGATGTGAGTGTCTGTGTACTCGTATGTGTGTGAAAGAGAGAGAATGCAAAGACTTGTCTCCTATTGAGATTCTATTTGTCTTTTGTCTACTGTCTTTCTTTATGAAAGGGTCTGCTTTATTTTTACTAAGGTGGGTATCAAGTTTCATATGTTTCTGACATGTGGTTATTATATTTTCCCTTGATTATGAGAACAGTGTTTCTTAAAATGTGCATAGAGAGAAGAATCAGTGGAGTCCTTTATTCTGTTTCCCTGTGCAGAATTTTGGAGAATTGGGTAACGGAATTTCAAACAGCTGGGTGGGAAAGTTCAAACTTTCCCCCCTTGGAGCACCTTGGCCCCAGTCCAGATTGGGACTGTGTTTCCTTTTATGAGAGTGAAGAAAAAGAAGAAGGCTCAGCTACACCAACTTGATCAATAGAATGTGTTATTGTCCCATAGCATGTGCATGGGCTATGCATGTGGCCTCATGCTGCTTACATGTGCTCATGCATAGAAATGTTATAATAATAATAATAATAATAATAATAATAATAATAATAATAATAATAATATCTATTCAGGTATAATGCCTGAATGTGATTTAAAGCAATGTTTCTTTTCACTATACACTTAACACTTGTGTATCTGCAGAAGGCATATAGTCAGTGAATGCCCAAGCTTTCCTTTAGAGCTTCATATAGATTGGATACTAATCAAAAGGTACATACTAAAAAAGAGTGTGCACAGGGCTATACTTTAACATGTTGAAAGGCACAAATTTGGAAAAGAATGCTATAATCCTTTTAAAATCCCAGGGTCTTTTTTATGTGGAGGGAATGATCTCAGATTTTTCAGTATCCCAATCCTATTAATTTCAGTAAGCTTATATATTTTGGACAGTACTTCATTTTAAGTGTTTGGAAATAATACAATTGTGATGCTGCTAACAGTGAAGTATCACTTCAGGGTCTCTGTACCCCAGCACTGCACCAAACTGCACTGCACCAAACATGATTACTGTGATTACTTTGGGATCTTATCTCATTAAGTTGCCACTGTGTTATCCCCTCCCCACTGGAATGCCAGAGGCGTTAGTTTCTGTCTTCTAACATTAGTTAGCAGTTCTGAATCCAAGGGGGAGTTGGGACTGGGCTGACATCAGATGTACATCACAAACTGAAATAACAACAACGGATCAGGTGCCTTACTACTTTCCCCTCTTCTGGTGCTTCGCTCAGCCAGATGCTATCAGGTAACTGTATCAATCTGCCCTCAGGTTTGGATGTACTGCTTGTGAATGCCAGTTCAGTCCAAAATAAAAGCTCCATCATCCAAGATATGATTGTGGATGAGGGGGCTGACCTGGCCTGTATTATGGAGACCTGGGTGGGGGAGTTGGGAGACATTATTTTCTCCTAGATGTGCTCACCTGAGTATTCAGTGCAGCACCAACCTCATCTTGGGGGTCGGGAAGGAGGAGTGGCTATAATATATAGAGACCGTCTTTCTCTCTCAAGACTCCCAGTCTGCTTGGGTATCCATCCCCTTCTTGAGCAAGTGCTCCAGTGGGTTGAGGCTGGACAGCAACAAGCACTCTTCATTGAAACAGAATATCTGGATCCATTTCAGTCTGGCTTCAGACCTAGATTTGGAATGGAAATTGCCTTGGTTGCCCTGTGGGATGACCTATGCTGAAAGACAGAGGTAGTGCATCCCTGTGGATTCTCTTGGACCTCTTAGCATCTCTTGATACCATTAACCATGGTATCCTTCTGGATAGGCAGGCTGAGTTGGAAGTTAGAGGCACTGTTTTCCAGTTGTTCCACTCCTACTTGGGTGGCCAATTCCAGAAGGTGGTGCTGGGGGATTGTTGCTCTGTGCCATAGCAATTGCCCCATGGTGTTCTTCAGGGTTCCATGCTATTTAACATCTACATCAAACTACTGGTTGAGGTAGTCTGGAGATTTGGGCTGAGGTGTCAACAATATGCTGATGACACCCGGCTCTACCTCTTTTTCTATCTAATGCAGGTGAGAGAGTGACAGTTCTGAACCAGTGCATCATGGCTGAGGTAATGGTCTGGACAGGGGGCAATAAATAGAAGCTCAATTCATACAAGATGGAAGTGCTGTTGACAGAGGGCTCCCTTGTCCAGATGGTTGATGTCTGACCTGCCCTAGATTTGGTTGCACTCCCAATAAAGGACAGGGTTCAGAGTATGGGGATGCTTCTTGATCCAGAGCTGTCCATTGAACATCAGGTGGGCTTTGTAGCCAGAAACATCTTCCATCAACTTTGGTTGATTTACCAGCTTTGCTCCCATCTGGACAGGCAGCAACTGGCAGCAGTAATCCATGCCCTGGTAATGCTCAGCTTGACTACTGTAATGCACTTTTCATGGAGCTGCCCTTGAAAACACTCTGGAAGTTCCAACTGGTATAGAATAGAGCAGCACATTTGCTTACAGCAAGTGGTAGATGAGGTCATATATTGCCACTCCTGTACAATCTTCATTGGTTACAAAGTGCGGTCCAGGCCTACTTCAAGGTGGTTGTATTAACTTACAAAGCCCTACATGACTTAGGCCCTGATTATCTGAAGGAACCCATATCTTAAGATCATCTTTGGAGGTCCATCTCTGGGAGTGGCCTTTAAAGAACCAGAAGAGGGTGACTACTTTGGGAAGGGCTTTTTGATAGTGGCACCTCATTTATGGAATTTGTTCCCCAGAGAAGTATGTCTGGTGCTGATGCTGAATGTTCTGGTGCCAGACAAAGACTTGTTTATTTGCTCAGCTTTTTAATATTTAAGCAATATTTTGTCTAGCTACAGCCAGATGTTCATTTTACTTTCTATTTTGGTTCTTGTTTTTATTTGTTTTTATCAGAATTTTGTGTTTATTAATTTGTTTGATTATTTTGTAAATTGATTAATTTAGTTTTAGTTATTGCTTAATTGAAATGTTTTAACTGTTAATCTGTTTTAAAATATTGTATTATGTTTGGATTTTATTGAGTGTTAACCATTCAGACAGCCAACATGGCTGACTGAACAGTATACCATAAAAAATTATAAATAAATAAATAAACAGATTTCTTCAGATCTACTCACCTTCATTTCTAGATTATTACTATAATTTTCCAAGGAAGTTTGGATGGCGTGAATCTCTCTCTCTTGTTTTGAAATCTCATGCCTGATTATATTTACATCTCCAGAGAGTTTTGCAATGCTGGCATCACATCTAGAAATAAAAGTAGAAGGACAAGTACAAAGATATGCCAACTCTCCATAGATGCCCTATATCATATACGTTCCCACCACCACTGCTCACCTAGAAATGAATCCACGAAACCAGCAACTTTCCTCCTTAAGGAAAAATACATGTCACAAACCTAGCTTCTGCTCACTTACCTAAAGCATTCCCTAATCAAAAGACTCTATGGTGAATAGTGCCTGGAAGTAGTGTACCACAATAGGTATAGAATATGACCAGAATATTATAAATCAGAGCACACTGCCTGGTTTGTGTAAGATGAGTTGACGCACAGGAGCTGGCCTGCATGACACAAGAACCCATTGTGGGTTATTAACCATGGTGAGACTATGCAGCTGCCATTTGGTATAGCTAAACCCCATTTGGGGGTTGTCGGTTTGTGCAAACCTGGCAACTGGAGACTCTGCAAAGTCTAAACATGGGTCATGTAAGAGTTATTTAACTTTCATGTAACCCATGCCAACCAGTTTGTACAACATAAACTGAGCAAGGGTTGGATATGCAGAAGGTGGGTTAAAGAACGCATGATGATATAATAACCTGGTCAATATCTGTTGTAGCTGGATTACAAGGTTGACAAGCCCCCTCCAACTCTAATTCTATGACAATGGACTTCCATTTCCAATTTAAAGTGCTGGTGTTGTCCCTTACCTGGTGCCTTCCAGGAATTTTGAACAACCCCTATCATTAATGACTATTGGCCAGGCTGGAGGGACTGATAGGAGTAGTATTCCCACAATATCTGGGGGATCACAGATTCCCTACCATTATATTCTGGACTATACTTTATACTCTTGATGTGCTAATGCCTGATTTTCCTGTACTTGCTAACTCAGTCAACACTGTATTATTATAAGTCATGAAGATTCTTGCTTGTTTTCACAAGCAGTATTAAAGTGCACTAAAGCAGAGTTTAGCACCCCACTTTTGTAAAGGAGAAAACTGACAATGCAGCATTCCATGCATCTGATGACATGGGCTATGATCCAAGAAATATATATGATGCCATAATAAATCATTTAGTCTTTAAGTTGACACAAGACTCAGTTGCCCTTTGCTACACACTAGGTTAACATCTGTATCCCTAACATCTGTAACATCTGTATCAGTTTTCCATAGTCAACCCATATCCTTTTTGCATTTTTCTCAAAAAACCTCTAATCTTATTCCTTGCTCCCTTCTAAGCACTTTATGAGGACACTCTACTACCTAGATCAGACTTCTCCAACCCAGTGCCCTCCTCCTGGACTACAATTCCCAGGATTCCTGAACAGTGATTATGCTGGTTAGGGTCATTGGGAGTCGGGAGTCCAAATCTTCAGAGGAGCTCCAGGTTGGGGAAGACTAACCTAGACTGACATTCCTAAGCTACACACACTATGTTCCTGTGTATTTTGATAAACATGCAGGTTTCTGGGCCAGCTGTTCTGAGTCCACAGCAGCCTGCCTTTCAGCAAAATTGAACTATGGTCACAATGGGAGAAGTTCCTAGCACTTAAGCTAAATTTCTCCCAGTCATTCATGTTCCAGAAGGGTTTCTTTCCTGAGCATGGATAAGTAGATTTCAGATGTGTATTGGGATATGTGTCCAAAGCAAGTATGGAACAGTCCCCTTGAATCTTTTCTACCGGTAATTTTTCAGTGTTGGAAATTAGGCTAGCTCAATATTTCTGTAAAGGAACATTAGTAGCAAGCAGTATGTAAATAGTGCTTATATGGTAGCATAAATCATTTACTTGTATGCTGACAACCTAAGAGCAACTATTCATACTCAGCTCTATTAAAAATGAGCTGTTTAAATACAGCTACTAAAGCCAACCCTGGTGCTGCAAAATCATGAGGTTGTGCTGAGTCTAGAAATGTGTGTCCTCTCTTTTCTCAAAAACAGATGGAAATACTGACCCTACTTAATAAAATAAGTTGGATAATTAAAGCGAAGGATCCAGGTCACCGCATGCACTATTAATTGAGTAGGAAATGCCACATTTTTAAGTGATTATCTTTATGGTTCCAAATGCTGTTTCTGTGACAGCCTAAGACAAGGCAATAAACTTGCCCTTTTGGGTGCTACTGAAATAAGCCTGCATATTCCAAAACTATCCCAGCAGATATATGGCCAACTCTTGGCACACAAATCTGCAATGTTACAATCCATCTACCATTCATCTTGCTATGCTAAATATATACACATGCTCAGCACAAAAATTGCTCTACCAATGCTATTCCAGGACCCATCAACCCTCTCTCCTGGACTGACTCTTGCAACAAGATGGTTTCTAAAATCAAAATAGAGTTTATGGAAACACTAATAGGTTTAGTCTGGTGACTGAAAGTCATCCCTTGTGGGAAAAAGGGAGCAGAGTGCATTTTGAAAGCTCTAGCAGTCTGATTTTATATTCGCTCCAAACTGCAGTCACCTCTCTGGATGAGAAATAAAATGAGCTCTTTCAAGAGAAGCAAACAGTAGAGTTGGGAAGAAAATTAAGCTTTCTGTGAAATTAACAGTTTCTGCTAACTGGACAAAGAAAATGTAGAAATGAATGTTGAGATCACCATAGTTGTCAATGAGAGCTAAGGAACAAAAGATTGTTGGTCATTGGCTATGTCTGTATGCCATGACAAATCAAGGTTTATTTTGACAGAAGTGAGCCTATGTGAGTCTTGGAAAATGCCTCTCTCCCCTCTCTTCCACCTATGTAACCATGAGAAGGAGATTGTGAATTTCAGCTTTTGTTTTAGATTAGTTGCAGCTTGATATATATTCCAAACCTGGCAAACTGCTTGATCTTTACTATGGTAAGTTATGAAGCTGGCCTGTTAAAAAAAAACATAGTTAACCTTACCATAGTTTCAGGTTCAAATGTAACAATAAGCTATTGTTAATCAAAGCAGAAGCAAAAAGTTCTGATCTCCTTGAAAGTGGTGAGGGCCAGGAGGAAAGCATGTGACAGGCTCATTCCTGCCAAGATAAGCCATAGCATATAATAATCCCCGGATGTAACCATTGTCAAGATAAGCTTCCTCTAATACAGTATTCCAAACTCACCTATCAAGATAAGTTTCCTCTAATACAGTATTCAAAACTCACCTAGCCACTCTCCCACGTAGATCCCCAACTCCCTGAAGATGTTTCTGGTCCAGATTCTGCATAGCAAAATTTGTTCCTGATGTTACATCATCTCTTGCTTTTATTTGCCTCTCCAACGCCTATAATTTTATATGGATTGTAAAAGAATATGTTTGTATGTACTCAGGTTACTATTCTATAAAAGAAGGTAAATCAGCTGGTTTCATTTAAGTTTGACACCAAAGCCCCTGCTTTGCCACTAATCTGTTGAGCAAGACGAAAAGAAGTAAGCAGGACACAATTCAGAATTACCTCCTAGTTTGAATGTGAGGCACAAATAGCTGCAAAATAAACTATCCATCTGGCCTGATTAATATGCCTATGTAATTCCCTTCCCTTACAAAGAGAGTGGCAGGATTCTCAGATTTAGTGGTGGACACCTCTGGAACTTGTCTGTCCTCACATTGTCAAAGTTTCCAATGTCTATATTTACATATATAAGTTTTGCTCACATTCAGCACAGAGACAGAATGGAAATCACATAACTTGTGTCTACTTTCTGGAAAATAAACCTTAAAACAAACAGACAGATTAATCAAATCAGATCTAGAAGAGTATGATGCATGAAATGGTGAAATATGTGGAACTGTGGAAATAGGAATTTTGCAGTGGTCAAAAGGGGAGGATTCTGGATGACCTGAAAGGAGAAAGACTTGGGACCTTTTTTTTGTAACCGTAGTACCTTCCCTGCATCTAATGGCCTGGTAGAGATGTGATGGGAAATTATGGATGTTTAACAGTAAGCCCTGAACTCACTTGTGCTTCTTTCCTTCTTTTGTAATCATGAGGCAGGCATCAGAAGCATTAGCTTCTGTTCTTAAACACACCCCAGTGAAGTTCAGACTCAAATAACTGAGATTTGTTTAAACTCTAGGATCAGCCAGGGTTTGCTTCTGGCTTGTTCAAACAAACCACGGCTTAAGCAAACCACATTTTCTCTAAGTTGAAACATCACTGTGAACTGTGATTTCCTTAAAAGCAAATGCTTTTGATCTCCTACTTACAGCTAGGAAAGAAAAGAAAGCAGGAGGTATTCATGAGCCAATGGCTTACTGTGGCTCATTCACACAGTAGTGAAACCATGATACCTGTTAAGTCTGAACTGTCCATCAGGTAACGATCAAGAGAGTAATATAAGGGAGGACTCCAGGCTTGATTCTAAAGAAGATGCCACAACATTCTTTTGCTGTTGGCACTTATTACACTTTTGCTATAAGCTAGCCACCAAAAGTTCGCATTCTGTTAATTCTTGGAACCCATGAAAAGTCTGAAACAACTAAAACACTGTCTTCTTGCTTCTCTCCAGATTTTTCTAAGTCACTGTGGTCCAACAAATGGTCTACAAGGCCTTGTTCTGTGGCCCTCTTGCAACGCAGAGCCCCTGCTGCTCCAGCTGATGAGTGCAAAAGCGCTGGGGTGACGAGTGCCTTTGTGCTTGTCAGCTGCCGTGAGCAGGGCATGCTGAGCACTATTCATCAGCCCAAGTACAAGAGGCCCAGAATGCCAGGGGCTGGGGGTCACTTGGGAGGGCTTCTGGGCAGGAAAACTGGGGAGGAAAGAGATGGGCGCCTGAGAGGAGCAATCATTGGGCTTGATCTTGGGCTTGATCTTGATCAGACTTCAGGCATACTGATTTCCTCCCACATTTCTTCTTCCTTGTTTTCTGGCACACAGACAGTTTTGTTTCTTTGAAAGCCAATATCGGTTTTCTCCCTTGTTTAATGGTTAATTGAATATATTAATTGTTTATATTAAATTAAATAACTATATTATGAACACTTTATAATATATAAATTACAGTATGGAAAAATATTTACAGTATGGAAAAATAATCCATTGTGTGGCTCCCAGGTTCTCTGTCGAAGTCCTCATACAGTCTTCATGGTACAGAAAGCAGGACAATCCTATTCTAAGTGATTATTATTACATGAATACAATTAAATTATCAATGTCAAGCATTTTTAAAGCATGTTTAATTATGATCCTCCCTATAGTTTGAAAGCTTCTATTAGAATGTGTCAGGGCCCAGAAAGTGAGCTGTGCATAAAAATCCCCATTTCATGGATATTTGCGATCTCAGGTGTAGGGCATGGCCTTTTGCCCTAAAATTAGGGTTAGGGTGAAAATCCACATTAGTGTTGGGTTAGGGTTCACCAAATGGCCTGAGTTGGGGATATTTCTGCACAGCTCACTTTCTGGGCCCAGCCTAAGAATGTTGAAGGCCGCAGAAAGTTCGTCAGGACCCACGTTTTCTAATGCTAACCCTAACCTAGTTATTCACCTGAACCCTAATTTTAGGCAGAAAGGGTCATGGCCAGGACATGAGTTTGCAAAATGCCATGAGGTGGGAATTTTGCTGCGCAGCTCATTTTCTGGGCCCAGCCTAAGAACTTTGCAGGCCGCAGAAAGTTCATAGGGATCGTCGTTTTTCTAACCCTAGCCTGGATTTTCACCCTTACCCTAATTTTAGGCCAAAAGGTCCATGCCCTGGCCCTGAGTTTGCAAAATATCTACATTACATTGTGTGGCTGGGGGAACCTGCCCCTTTCTCTCCAGATGATATTTTGCCCCACATGCTCAGGAGGTGAAAATAATGAGAACATGCAGACAAAATGATATTTGGGGGCAGGGGGCATTATGGTTGTAGAATCCTAAGAATGCTGGACCTGAAACAAGAAAATGAACATGCTTCTAGATAAATGCTTCTTATCACACTATCAGTCAAAAGACATTGTGAAGTTCTTCCATCTCTCCCTCCTCAATAGATATTCTGTGACAAGAAAAAAGGAAGAAGTAGTGGGAAAACACAGGTGGGGAGCTAATGGAAGTAGCTGTAGTGTGGATTCCCCATAAAATGCCATTGATGAGTCCTGGCAAATTGCACTTTTAAAAGAATTGTCTGGAAACTCCCTAAGAGCCATTTTACATACAATGCAGAATGAGTTTGGCAGAATTGTGGACCTATCTAATTATTGGGCTGCAAAGGTGTGTGATATTTTTGGATATTACTGTTCTTAAATACCTTTCTCTATACATGGTAAACTGACACATTAGGATGAAATGTATACTTTAAAAAGGGATGTTGGTTTTAATTGGGAAGCATTAATATATATGCCAGAAATGGTGTAATCCACATTTCATCCACCTCATTCTGCATCAGTGTATAAAGTTGTTCTGAATTTTTGGAGTTGATGGGGGCCTTCAGTTTTCAGTGTTTCAGCTGCAGCAGGATTCTTGTTCTGGGGTATAGACACTACACTCCTCAACTGCCTCAGGAAAGCTGTAGCAGAAGTTCTTCAGAGAATCACTACCTAGACATAGTAAAACAAGCACTCAAAGGGTTCAGAATTATGGTTCAACCTCTGTGTTCAAGGGAGATCAACAGAAAATAAAATTAAATCCAAATTAAATTCCTGGACAAGCAGCTGAAAGGACTTACATCTGTGGCACAGGTAAGAAACTGTCCTAGGATTCCTTTGTTTTAAGGGTAAGACCTCCAGATATTCAGGACAGAAGGTAGATCCTAGCAGCTAGCTGGCTAGACTTCTTGCCTCCCAGGGTGAACAAGGCTATGCCTATTTTATAAGTAACTTAATATTGAGTAAACTCATCTGAAGCTGAGAAAAAATACATTGCTAATGGATATACTAGAGGTTTAACAAATTGCCAGTGATGCCAAATATGACTGCGGAGGTACCTCTATGTCATGGCTCAGCTTCTTAACAATGCTCGTGATGATCTGAATGTGGTTCTCCAGTAGCTGGCGTGCTGCTGCCTCCCCTTGCTGAATGCCTTTATTCCCCTGAAGGTAAGAAACAATGCTGTCTTTGATCCGAAAAGCCTGATCCAGAAGAACAGTAGTAGTCCTTTCCTGATTGGACATCCGGTCTTCAAGGGAATTCACTCTGCTTCCAGAAACATTCGGGATTGCAGGCAAGAAAGACTGGCTTGGACTCCTATCAAAGAAGCAACAGCAAGAGTTAAGAGGACATGCAGGTAAAAGTAAGCCATATATGGTTGTGCCCAGCTATGACAACAAGGCAAATATAATAAAGGAAGAATGTTTTCAGGTTGTAATTTCTGTCCCTATTCAGGCTGCATATTGCTATGTGTGATTATATGTATTATATGGCCTGCAAGACCATGGAATCCGCTCAAGGTGAAGAGTCTTTGGATTAGTAGGGTCACCTTTAAGAAAATGCAAAATTTTTGGTACCACATTCAATGGCAAACTGTGCTACTGTTACCAAAAGCAATGAAGTAAGCAGGGCAATTTTATGTGCACTGCAGTTTATAAAAGCAGATATTTTGTGTAACATAATATAGCATTTTCAGAGAAGAATTACTTTCTGTGGAACTACATAGTTTCTCTACGTTTAAATGATATTCAGGAAAATAGATCATTTATCCCATAGTGGGGTGTTACCACAGTTCCTGCTATCCTAAGCCAAGAATATGCTAAACATTTATGAGCAAGTAGAAATACACAATAGGAGGATTTCCCCAACATAATAACCCACTCTGTCTGTTGTTTTCCCCTGGGTCTATGATGTGCCCAACAGATGATTGACCACTTTAATGATCTTTGCCATCCCACGCACATCTCCCTGCAGGTATCCCAGGGGACATTTGGCAGGAATGAGTCTTCATCTACTCCCAGTCATTGCTGCCAGTATTGCTGCAGCCAGTCATCAAAAGAGCTGACGTGATCACTGCCCCTTGCTTCTACCAGCCCAAAAGAACATGCAGGGACAGCACCAAGCAGAGCAGCCAGGATTGTTTAGTCAGCCACGTGAAGCAACCTTTGCTCAGCATGCTTCCACCAGCCCTTTTAGACGTGGGATAGCAGCATCGAGCAGGGAGACAGGAGCCACTTTGGCTGGCTGTCAAGTCAGCTGAAGCTATCTCCATGCACACCATCACCACTACCTCCAGCCCAAAGTGGCTAGTGGCAGCAGCGGGGACAGGGCAAGTCAGCTGGTCAAAGTAATCTCTCCGCTTGCTGTCCGCAAGTAGCATGGGGATTTTTCCACTCTTGCCAAGTGGCTTACATGTAGCTAAGTTTGACCCATGATAGATCATGTCAACCAGGTTCAAATGGCATGGCAACCCATTGCAAATCAGACAGACCCACTTACAAGCCATAGCTTCGCAGGGTGGCTTATAATGCAAAAATGAGCCATGTTTGCATGACATGAAAACCCATTATGGCTTATAAACCATAGTGAATTGCCAGTTTGTGTGCACCTAGTCACGATCTTACTATTAAAGATATCAAAAAAAGCTGATTAAGCAGTCATATAGATAGATAGATTTGGAAATGGAAGATATGGGCTAAATTTTTCACCTATGAATTAGCTAGGCAAATAATAATTCACAGGACAAGAATAGTTTAAATTGAATGATCTGTTTATTTTGGAATTAACTTTTTCTTACACAGTTAAAATAGGAATTAAATATACTACGAGCCTTAATCTTAGCAAGCATCTGACACTTTGCCTTTATTAAGCAAACAAATTCAGAATTCAGCTGCAATAATGGATACACAGACTGAAGAGGGTGGTGGTGTAGATCCAATAGCATCCTAACATGACTGGAAGGCACCTTTGCTCATCCAAGGGTTAAGGGGGACCTGCTTTCCCATTATTTCCACCTCCAGTTTCTGTCCCCTGAGTCACACGCCCTGATTTGTGGGTCTGGGGAAGCTGCAGGGAGAAGGTAGCGCACCCTATTACACAAGCAAAGTGCAGCTCACAATTGTTACTATCAAAGCCATTATCTTTAAGGAGATCAACACACCCAGTGGCATTATGTTCTCAGTGACCAGATTTCTGTAGACAATGCCACAAGTCCCATTCCAGCAGCTCATTTGCTAAAGTCCACATGTTTAAAAGACCAGAATAATCTTTCCTCAGTGGCGTATGTCTGCTTTGAACTCATGAACCCAGAAACAGCTGCAGAAAGTCTTCCATCAGTAGCCACCTTCAAACTAGGGCCATGCACAAAGGTTATTTGGGTACACACTATTTCAACCCCTTCTCAAAGTAGACACTGCTTCAACAGCATGTCTCATTCACAATATTTGTTCCTTTCACCAGTTGCCTGATGATCTACCCAGCACTGACTGCATTGTGCATTAAGCTACGTATGGTGGACGACCTATATCAAGCAGAGAAAAACATTTTATAAGGCTGCTTAAGCCAACAAAGCAGGGGACAGTGAAGCTTGTACTAGACCTGTTCTTGAGGCAGGTGGACCCTTTTCTACCAATATATAGCTAATACTCTTTTACCCAGCTAAGAATGCAACTATTACACTGTACAGTTAAAGATGATGTGGACTAAGGAATCCACAGTTACCAGGCAGGGTGTGTCCTCTTCTGACTGAGAATTGTGCTAATGGTTATGGTGCAGTGCCCACTCCTCCAAGTCTTTGCATTTATTTTTCTCTTCTAGATCTATCAGCTACAGATCAGGCCTTACTGTCTATTAACATGCACTGAACAGTTGTTCCTAAAAAGAAATTCTAGTCCTGTCGATATCTACATTTTCACTCATTTTAAGTAAAGCCTGATTCTCTGCCATCCTGGTCACAGCCTGAAATACCTAACTTTTCATTGCTTTTTTAGTTCAACTGGATCATTTAAAAAATTGTAGCCTGATTCAACCTTTGAATCACCACTTTACAGCAAAGAATTTGATCACCGAAGTTTATTAATTAGCTGCTTGATAATTAGCTTAAGTGTTACCAAGTGAGTGCACAAATGATGACATGAAAGAATTATTCAGTGTGAATTTAACTGCCTGAGTAGACACATAACCCAGTGCGTGTTGAAACCCAAACAGATGTTGGAGAGCACAAGATACACTACAGACCTCAGTTATACACTGTAATGTAGGGGGCACAGACCAAAGCACTAGATTCCCGGCAGCGCCATCTGAGACTGAACTTCCAGGAAAGAGTGAAATGTAGTGAGCATTTCTATTAGTTTCCACTGAATCTAAATCAACTTCATGCAGTATGACTTATATCACTTCTGCTGCACCAGCACCAAGCATAACACTGGGTTAGGGTTGGGGTTAGACTTGAGTGTCTATTTCACCAGAATGTATGTGCATAGCAAAAGAAACATACATTTTGTTAATCTTATGGTGTACATGCAGTTTTCTTATTTGGTAGAGAGATCCATTGAACTCCTACAGTTTACCCCATAGGAAATTGTTTAGAATCAGTTGAACAAAACACTAAACAAAGTAATGTGCCCTGGATGGATTTCCACTATTTAGCTGATTTTTGGCTTAATTTTCTTGACATATTTAAATATAGATGGTCTCTTTCCTATAAGTCTATATGAATGACATAATAGAGAGCTAAAAATGTGGGGGTTTTGCTCTCTCTGCGTGGGTCCATTTCATCAGTTCTTATCCCACTGGGAAACAACTAATGAACTGGAAAAGCATGCTTTATGCAAGCTTTTATCTGAAAACTAAAAGTGTTGGGAAAATGTTTTCAGGCACTGTTTTCTGGAGAAAAAGCAAAACAGCAAAGGATAAGGAATAACAGTGACTAGATTTTTACTTTAGTGTATACCCAGAGGTTTCAGGTGTTTGAACCATTTTCTAGGAAGGACTGTTGATGCAAGGGGAAAGTCTCAAGGAAATTGTAGGCTGTCCTGAGACATTGTTGTAAAGGACAGCATATAAATGTTTTAAATAAATAAATAAAATGTGTGGGGAATGCACCTAATGATGGATGTGGCCTGTGCTCAAAGTGCCCGGAATTTTCACAGCTACATAACACTTTGGACTGTCCCACATGAAATTAGCCTGAGGGCTGCATGAGTTCCATGGGATGCAGATCTCTCCTCATAATTCTAAACAATTCCATGCATACTTTGGAGTTAGGGGTTCAAATGGAAGAAAGGAGTGTGCTGGGAAAGCAGACATTTTGGTCAAGGTGAAGGAGAAGGGTTAAAAATAGAGGATGTCAAGGGAAGAGCTGCACACAGGGAGTAATAAATCTTCTGTCTCTCCAGTTTCCCACAGTCTTTGCTGGCTTGGGCCCCCAAAATGAACCTGCTGCCTTATGTGGTAGGGGATATTCTCCTATCATGCCTGTTGAAGTAAGAGCCACTGGCCAGTCCTGCTTGCTTCAGTACATGGGGTGGTGATAGTGCCATCTGGTTCTTTGCCTCAGGCAAGGAAATATTTTGGGACAGCCCTGATGACCTTATTTCTCAGGAGAGGGATGTTCAGCAGAAATTAGAATGATTGCATATATTATACTGCCTTGAGTTAATTAAAAGGGGACTACATCCTGTTAGTGGGAAAAAAAATCAAGCTGGCTAGATCAACCTTCCCTAACCCAGTATCCTCCAGATAACTTGGACTGGTGGATGCTGCAACATCTGGAGGGCACCAGACTGGGGAGGGTGAGCTAAATAAATGAAAGAGTAAAAATGAGGGCTATGAAGTTATTACACTATGAATTAACACATCTTAAAATAAACTGACTGAAAATTAGAATCAAAAACTCTTCAGAAATATTTCTTAAGTAGACAAATGTTTAGGAAAGCCATTTCAGCAAGTATTAAATGTTAAGCCCCCAAAGAGGAATAAATCATTTTGACCAGATGATATCACAAAACATCCATATCTGTGTCTGGATCTTTAACTGAAACAATTAATCCTAGTAGCTCTAATAAAATGCACCATTCTGTGAACAAGCCTCTGACTGTCTGTCGGCCTGCCTGCCCATTTTTCACAGGCACGGATCCTAACTCCATGTGGAGTTGTACATAGCTAGCTGTCTCCATGGCTTTAAGATCTTAATGGCTGGAGCCTGAGCAGCTCAAGTAATTTCATCAGAGCATGTCCCAGATGCAGTCTCTCCTGGAAGCAGGGTTGCCATAAGGCAAATAATTCATGATGCTAGTTCACTCATGTGTGTAAGAGGAAACAAACACAGCTATAAAAAAATGAGTTGGACTTAGAAATGTGTGTCATGAGCCTTACAACCAGCACTTAATTACTCCCTTTCAAGCAGATGCTGAGGACTGAAGGACATGATTTCAGGAGCGCTGAAATCCTGCCAAACTCTGATTACCAGGACTGCTTTCCTGGCAGTAACGAATAAATGGGAATGAATCTTCTTGGACAGCTTCAAAGGTAAGCCCTTCCTTTTTCCTTCTTATAGGAACGATACATGGAACAGTGCCCCTGTCAGAACAAAGAGACCCAGGTGAACCCCCATTTCTCCACCCCTATCTATGTTCTGAGACTGCAGATCTCTGTGGGGATGGGGGAGATACTGGAATCTATATCACACCCATGGAGAAAATAGAAGTATCTATGTAGGCTGGATTAGGGCCACAGGCCAAAGGTACTGCACCTGTGCTTTGAAGTTTTTGAAACAAATCACCTTACTTTTACTGCTTGATTGTATACATTAAATGCCTTAAAAGAAGCATAAGGGCATCTGTCAGAGTGAGTGGCTACATGAATCTATTCATTTGAGGATAAATAATGCATGCTTCTTGCTCCCATGAAAACTGTATCTGAGGAGAATATAAATGATAACCTACTGCAATGACCTTTGCATCCTGAAAAGGAAACTCCTGTGAAGATTTTTGGAGTTTTTACTTTGAGCTTAGGCCAGCTCAGTTGGTTTGTCTTCATGTTCACTTTTCATCTCCAAAACCTTCAAATTTTAATCAGTTTAAGAAATCATAAATGTCTTATTTATACTAGACTGTATCACATTGCCAGAAGCATCTTGTGTCTCAAGAGAGATTTAAGAGATGGTATTTCTTAAAATTGATATGTGTGTCATTTATCTGAAAATTGAATAATTGTCTATGTACATAGACAAAGTAATGTAATAAGTACCTTTTGGTTAATGAACAGTAATATTACAATATGAATTTAAGATTGATGAAGACTTTAGGCACTCTGTCTTGTCCAGGTAGGACTTAGTGGAAGTGAAGAAAAGGGAAAGTATCTAGAAAAGTAAAGACATTAGAAACACTGATTGGAGTCTACTCTTGGAAGTCAGCAAAAGACGAAATGGAAAATGAATGTATGACTGATGATCCCTCCTGCTTCATCTCTTGAAGTAATATGTGAATAGGCCCTTCAAAGATGCCTGATGCTGTGCATATATATTGTAAACAAGATTTTTAGGGGAAGTAAACAATGTTATTAGTTGAATGGTCTGGGAAGAGCCAAAGAACTTGATGGCTTGGCAAATGGAACTTTCCCAATACTTGGTTGTAAGCCAAGCTGGTCTAGAGAATTTTATCAGCAGAAAATGGAAATATAACAACTATTCCCATGGTGAACAATGAAATTATTTGATATCCTTGAAAGAAAAGTAGTAAAGAGACTGACCTAGTTTAAACATAGTACCAGACTATAGCTTAGTCCTGTGGGAATGAGTTTCTTCAAGACTTGGTCTTGAGCATCCCCACTTCTGCTCCATGGTTGCAAGTAGACTAGAATATCTACTTAAACTAAGTAGATTTAAACTTAAACTAAGTAGATTTAAACTAAGCATATGTACAAGCCAGTTTAAACTATGGTTTACTGAAACTAGCCAAGACCAAAACATGACTTCTGATCTTTGCTATTTTCATTAAATATAAGTTTAAACTAGCCACAATTCTTGGTTCAGATGTAATGGCAAATTAAACTTGGTTTAAATAGAGAAACTGATTATTTCAATTGCCTCCTTCACAACCAGTGCAGAGGAGGGAATGGGGAGCTTGATCAGGCTTGTTCTCATAATGCTAAACTATGCTTATTGAAGAAAGTTACTGTGTATGAACATAACAATGTAAGAACAAAGAAATGTGGTGCTAGATCAGATAAAAGGTCCATTTAGTCCAGCACTCTGTATACTTGGTGGCAAACCAGTTGCCTACAAGTCAGATGGGTGCAAAACCTCCTCCTGCCCAAGCTCCTCAGCAACTGGTGTGTGCAGGTGTGCCACATAGCCAGAAAGACTAGCAGCCACTGATAGTCTCCTCCTTCATGAACATCCAATCCCCTTTTAAAGCCAGCCAGATTGGTGGCCATCACTAATTTATATGACAGGAAATCCCATAGTTTAACTATATGCTGTGTGAAGAAATACTTCCTTTTATCGGTCCTAAACCTCCTACCAGTCAGATTCATGGGATGATTCCAGGTTCCAGTGTTATGGGAAAAGGAGAACAATGTCTCCCTCTCTGCTTTTTCCACACCATGTGTTATTTTAAACATCTTTATCATGTCTCCCCTTCCTTGCTTTTTTTCTAAGCTGAACAGTCCCAGTTATTGTAGCTACTCCTCACAGGGGAGCTGCTCCACCTCCCTGGGAATTTTTGTTGCCTTTCTCTGTACTTTTTCCAACTAATGCCCTTTTTTCAGGCAAGACAACCAGAACTGAACACAGTGTTCCAAGTGCAGTTGCATCAAGGATTGTATAAGGAAAATAAGATTTTGGCAGTTCTAATTTTCTATTCTATTCCTAATTATGTCTAAAATGGAGCTTGCCTTCTTCAGAGCAGCTGAGCAATGGGCCAACATTGGTTTTAACCACCTTAAAAAGTTTGATGTCATCAGCACACTTGGCCACGTCACTACTTATTCCTAATTTATAAAAACATGGCACAAAACATTTTTAATTCATACTGGGTTTTTTTTGTTTAAAATGTAACTTTAAACCAATCATTCTCTATCAAATGAATTGTAACTTGTGATACTTAAGAAAGCCAAAGAATGTCTGACTCACTTGTCAAGGTGTTTAACCAATTCTGTTGTGCTTTCTGTAGACATCTTTATTCAATGTATATCTGTAACAAAGGCCAGATAATGTTATTAACCATAGGTTCCACATACACCAACCAAGTGAATTGCAACGTACTTCACAGTATATAGCCTTACTTTACTGAATGGCTTACACAGGCAGATATTCCAGTTTCCAGATCAACACTGTTTTTCCCCCAATATCATTCAGTGATGGTGGGGATGGGGATAACTTGAATTCATATCACAAGGTCTTAGATAGCTAAGTTCTGAATACTAGTATTAATGCACTTTTATTTATACCCATTGACAACTTGACACTAAAGCATGGCTATATTTGCCAGCAGCTATCATAGCCTTCGCCAGCCTGGTATCCCCCATATGCTAAAGCTGAAGCCTAAAATGTATTTTAGCATCAGGTTAGGGAAGTTTGTTTTACATCATGGGTAAATGATTATTATTTAATTTTATTATATACATGATGTGTATACTGCCCAATAGCTAAAGCTCTCTGGACAATTCACAACAATTCATAAAATGACTAACCACAAGCACAGATACTAAATGCAATTTAAATATACAAAATTTAAAAACAGTTTAAACAGCTAAAAGCAATATCAATAAAAATACTAGATATGTTTAAAACATAGCTGACACAAATGCCCCTATGATATGCCATTAAATACTATTAAATGCCTGGGATTAGAGGGTGATTTAATGTGGTATCAAAAAGATGACAATGTTCATGTCAGATATGCCTCTGTCAGGAGATCGTTCCACCATTTTGAGGCCTTCCCCAAATGAGAATCCCTTTCTTGCCATCCTTTGAGCTACCCTCAAAGGTGACAGTAAGATTAGAGGCTCTCAGATGTTGATCATAGTGTTTGGATAGATACAAGTTAGGAGAGAAGTTCCATCATATATTGTTATCTCATACAGTGTAAGTCTTTATATGATAAAACTGGCACCCTAAATTGGGCTTGAAAGTATACAGGCAGCTAATGCATAAGCCACATGCATACCCTCTGTTGCACTCCCATACTCCCCTAAATAAAAAATAAAAAAAATAAAAATTGCACCCTATAGCAACTACAGAGTGAAATTTAGTTTGGAAGCAAGTTAAATGTAAGCACTGTAACCACATTTAGGTCCTTTGGCACATGGTACTCTCTGACTTACAGCCAACGGCAGGGATTTGGGGCTGAAGTGGCCCCCCGTTATCCTCTCCTGCGCTCTAGACTATAGCGCCTAGCATACTGTGACTGTTGTTAGAGAGCTGTCTAGGTAAATAGCACTACACAAAGAACAGTCACTATTATTTCTCTCATTGGCCGTTTTGTTTGCTATGTGACATAACTACTGATTGTAACTTACTATTGGTAGTGATGGCATATACAGAAAAAATGCTAAAAGAAAAGAACATGATTAAATTTATCTCTGCATAATTCTTATGAAAACACCTTCAAGCAATGAATACTACAAGATCTAAAAGGCACTAAATACCGTAAGGATTGCAAATTAACCTGTCCTAGCATCAGAAAATAGCTCAAATAAGTGTCTTAACTCAAATGGAGATAAAATTCTGTTACCCCAATAATAAGTGCACAGTTTCATACTCAAAAACTCCGGCTGTTATCCAATTCTGAAAGATGCGTAGAACTAGCATTGCTGTTTCCTAGGTGATGCTGTGGGGTCAACATTCCATTTCCATGGCACATGAGAGAACTTGGGCAACTGTATTAGTAAAACATAAGGCCTCTTCAGGTGCTCAGTTCTGTAAGTGTGGAAGGTGCATGGAATGCAAATTCTGGCCGCACACCCTCCACACACAGCCTCCCCATGCTGACAGCAAAAGTCTGCAGTGGTATTGAAAGGCAAGTTTCCAATTATACAGAGATCTGTTGCAGATTTTATTTCTGTTACAGATCTGCAGAAGACTTTGCAGAGCTTTCTGTTCAGATGGGGAGGTCAGAGGTGAAGGGTGTGGGGCTGAACAGAGCCCTACTATCCTCCACAGTTGTGAAACTGAATGCCTGAAGAGGGTGTTATACTGATCTTTGACTTTCAGCATTTCAATTGCTATCTAGGGTAATGTCTGTGTGTGCTTGAATGGAAAGTGAAATGTGCTCCTTTAGCACTGTTAGATGTGCTTATCCCTGTTCTTTGTTTATCTGTGCAGTAGAAGAGGCCATAATATGGTTTACAGACATGGAGTTTTCCCACGGGCATAAATATTTTACAAAAGGATGGTTTAATCTCCTATAAGATTTAATGTCCTTCCAATTTCCCCACTCAGTGCCTATTTTTATTATCTTATTCTCCCCAAAGAATATATTTACATTGTTTAATGGGGCTTCAGCTAGCATCTTTATTTGTATTCCTAGCATCAGAGGTTGCTTGTGGGTGGACAGAAACTGAGCTTTAGTTGATTTACTTGTTTCTATATATTTTGTGTTATTCTGATAGCAAGTGTCTCTTTGAAGGTACAGTGTGGATATTATGTACCTTGAGGCTGTGAACAGAGTTTTTGAAGGCCTAAGGCCTGACACATCTATCCTAAATCTTTGCCTGCCTTGGCTCTTAAAATTTGCTAGGGCTCAACATCTTGATCTCAGAAGTAATAAAAGCTTCTTTGAGAAAGCACACAATGTCTGATATGCTTAAGGTATTGATAGGTTCTGCCACAAAAAAGGCAAATTTAGACTTGTCTGTGAGAATCATTGCTCGGTGTCTAAGCAGTTCTGACTAAGATTCTTGGGTTCTCAAATCCTGGAGGATGTTCATTAACTGAATCTACTCCATGCCAAATTCTCACTTAATTTTGGGATAGAAACAACTTTGGTCACCTGTATAGGAAGGCTTATACAAGAGAATTAACTAGGAGAATACAGTCCTGGCATCACAATCAGTAGGGTTGGTGAGACTAGAGACAGGGTCTTTCCAGGCTTTCTGCCTTGCCCTACAGCAGGGGTAAGTAGTTTCTGGGGATCCAGAACCACCTTCTCTACTCAAACACATCCAGAAGCCAAGGAATTACACTTTTCCCACCCACTACTTCCAGTGTGCAGTTATAGAAGAGCTGGAAGGGTCAATGGATTGGGTTTCTCCCCCCATTGGGTTCCACTTCCTGCTCAGTGCAGGACTCCAAAGTAAACCATCCTTCTCAGATGGCTGTCCAGTTGAATCTTGAATGCCTTTAGTGTGGGAGAACCCGCAGTGTCCCTAGGCAATTTGTTCCATTGTCATACTTCTCTAACAGTCAGGAAGTTCTTCCTGATGTTCCGCTAGAACCTGGTTTTCTGTAGCATGAGCCTATTATTCCATGTACTGTACTCTGGGATGACTGAGAAGAGATTCTGGCCTTCCTCTTTGTGACAATCCTTCAAGTACTTGTAGAGTGCTATCATAGTCTTCCTCAGTCTTCTCTTCTCAAGGCTAAACATGCTCAGTTCTTTCACTCTCATTGCTATTGCCATTCTGTCAAATTTTAAAAGTGTGGAGGCACTAAAAAAATCCAGAGTAGCACTTGCAGCCCATACATTGTCTGTCCTTGCCCAATAGATTTCCTTCACAAGAAATATACATTTGGCCTCATATATGACTACTTTTAAGAAGTTTTTAAAGCCTTTTCTGTTTACCCTGACTTTTAACTGAAAAAATGGTATTCACTGCTCATGGTTATTTTGATGTTTATTGTTAGAAACATAGAAACAAAGCGAATCAGAAGGGGCCTCCTGGGCCATCTGACCCCTGTCTCCAGCTGGCTCCACTCATGACATACCTACCATGTGCATGTCTAGCCTATCCTTGAACAATTAGTTTTTATTTTAAATTGTTTATATTTAATACGCTAGTATAATACATTCATTTGAAGTTGCTGTTTTATGCCGTAAGCCACATTTTGAAAGGTGGTTAAGAACTGGGTTAAAGTACTAATATTATGGGTTACATGGATCCCTCTGAAATTGCAAGTCAATGTGATCCCCCCCCTCCCCCAAGTGGCGTTAAATTTGAAAGGACATTAAGTAAAACTAATCACACAAAATATCAAAGTTAAAAAGCAATATAATATAAATCATATGAATGTTTCTATCATATTAAAGAGAGAGATTCAGAATGCAGAAAGCAGCACCTTTACAAACTGAAACTATATTTTATTTTATTTTGCTGAGATTTCATTCTTCTTGCTGTGTTTTAATATTTGATTTGGTGTTGCTTTTAATTCTCATTATTGTTTCATGTTGTTGTGGGCTGCCTTGGAACCCTTAAAGATGGGAAATAATGACAATGACAACAACAACTCATAGTTGGTGATGCTTTTGTAAACCTTGATGTATTTTTCTGTCCCATAAACACCTGAAGTATATTAAGTTCTCCTCAAGCACTGAGCCAAATTCACAATATTTTCTTCTTATATTACCTTTTTTAACAGAATTACTAATGGATTATATAGTGGATATTATAAAACCACCTATGAAGATAATTGTGAATTTGATCAAGTGACTGAGAAGATTTTAGGAAAAAAATATACTTCCTATATTTATCCCTATCCCTTCCTATATTTAGACTATCCCTATGTTTATGGGATAGTCAAAGCAAATCAAAGTTATTGATTCTGAAGGCAATGAGCCATTGTTATTTTCTTTAACTTACAACTGGCATTGATTGATTGGCAACTCCAGTAACAACTGGTGCAAGTATGATACCAATATACAAAACATTGTAGAAATGTTCTTTAATTGAGATGGCCAAAGCACACTTCGAGCCAAGCCTGCATGTATAATTCCATTGTTGTTCAGTAGGAAACATACTGAAATCTCAAATGAGAGAAAGAGTGTGAAAATTACAGTTTATCAGTATTATAACACATTCAGAGAAATTGCCCTACTTACACATGCTATAAATTTATAAAACAGTTAACCATGAGCAAAGGAATGCAAATATAGTCAATTAATACAGTTCTTAATTGTGATTTACTAGTGCCATTTCCCAAAATAATGCTTCACACATATTTGTCTTTCTAGGCAGTGGATTACAGCAGTAATTTCCTGTTCTGCAGACTGGTGCAACTTTTGAAGGGCTGTGGGGGTATCCCATATTTGAAAACTGTAACAGAGCTATAAACCAAACATTTTACCTTGTTTTTGATGCTTTTTCTCTGTCTTTGAAAAGTTTTAAAATGATGTTCTCAGTCCCACAACAAACCAGCTCCATGTAAGGGAAAACTCTACTTCTTCACTGAGCCCACTTAGCATCCCTGCTGTAGTCATTTCTTCTTCGAGTTTGCCTGGCAACTTTTTTTTTAGAAATTTCTGAAGAGCTACCAATACCTGATGGTAAACGTCTTGAAGGAGCTACTGTACTTGGTTTGAGGTGAAAATCAAAAGGGGAAGCTGTGCACCAAGATGATTCTTTTCATTGTTTCTCAGGAAGAGCAGGATATGGGTGGCAGAAAACCTAGTGCTCTGTCACCAGGATACTTTTGTTTACTTTTGTTTCTAGGCAACCAGAATGCCTACAATGCTTTCTGACAGGGAGGTGTGTGGGAAAAGTTAGCTCTCTGTGAATGATACTGCGGTATGAATGCAACATTTAACTGTTCTTCTGATTCTGTGCCCTGCATCTTCCCCCACCCCAGGGCTGTCACTCACCTTTTGGGAACAGGTTTCAGAAAGATGGGAGGCGGGGAAGGTTAATTTAAAAAAAGAAATCCACAGAATGCTAGAAATTGGGATTTTTTTTTCCAGGAGGGATGAATGAGGAGATACAAGTTCTTCCCTTCTTATAACTGTTATTTGAATTACCATCCCCCTTTTCATTATAAGAGATTAGAGATGGTCCCTGTAGAATGAACTCTGGTTTTGCTTTTTTGAGGTGCACCCTCGTGAGAACTGTTTGCACATGTGTTGAAGGCATATAGATATATGCATTAGAATCATGTGAATGAACAAGTTTTTTATTAGTGTGGATGATGCAGTCTTTGTTTAAATAAGCAGTTGTATTTATTTCACTATTTTAATGAGTTATGCATACATTCATAAATGTGGGTTTTATTTAAGCCTTATTTGTGAATGTTCTTGTGCTGAAAGTCCATAATACATTTATAATTAGTATTATTTTTATACATATACATCCAAATATGAGACAAATTATAATATATGGTTTTATATTTTACGTAGCCAGTGAGACAGTTTATCTCCAAAGCATTAGGCACAAAAAGACTGGCACAAAAATAAAAAAGTATTTTTGTGATTTTGTGGCACATTTGTTTTTGAGTTATTTTGGTGTCTCTCTGTTTTCTGTTGTCATCAAGAGGCAAGCTAGAAGGCCCACACAAGTAGACCATTATCTGTGAGGACCAGTTCCACTTTTTACAGCAAAATCCTTGGCTTAGAAATACCAGGGATCCAAGACAATTTTTGGTTAATTTGTACCTTCCTCCTCCTGATTCAAGACTTTGTGCCACAGGTTATCTCTTAAAGTTGTAAGAATAAGCTTTTATGGTTTCCAGAGACTTCTGGGAGGTTAGGCAGAGAAAGAAGGAGAAAGGAATTTCTTTAAAGTATCACTGCTTCCAATTGGTCATTAAAGAAATCTATAACATTGTCACCAACATTGTCACCCCCAAATTGGGTTTCTTTCCTCTCATTTGCAAAGTCAGGATGTTTCTGCTAACTATTTTTGATCTTTAGATGGAGGTCACAAATTTATAGATATGACAGCCACATTTTTTTCATACCTGTACAAGCTCCAAATGAGATTACCAACACTCCCCTCCATGATACTTAAGGTCCATTCAACAAAAGACTTTTAGACAGATGGACTTGTGTGTAATATTCTAAAGAAAAGTCACTTGAGACTTGACTTAGGTTTGAAAATGATACATACTGTTCCACTTGTGCCTTGCTCTTTGCAATCTGCCATTATATATTTATTCTAGAAGTGAGAAGATAGGATTTATAGTTTTTCTGAGTAGATTCTCATAAAATTATATGCTTATATCATGTGTTTTCACCAGCCTGGAATTTTTTGCCCTTCCACTCTGGAGTCTTCTTTTCTTTTTAAAAAGGGTTGGTCAATGCTTTACCCTTGGCTAAAAATTTGTCACATATTGCAGTATTTCATTCAAGTCTTCTAGGTGACCTCTGTTTTAATACAAAGGAACAAAACTAAGGAACCACCATTTTGATTCAACATCCATCCATTGGTATACATAGCAAAATCAAATCTTAATATATTTTGAAATCCTAGTGAGAACTCATTTAGGGAACTGCTCCAAGACTGTCATCCATCCTTGGAATGGTCAAAATATGAGTGATTTGACTGTAGATTTAATTTGTCTATGACAAAACAATAGAACAGTATTTATTTGATTTGTACTTCCTATTTTCCTATGTTTTAGTGCTCTCTAGCTGGCTTTCAGATTTTGTCATTGCAGCAGCATCAATCTGTATACAAGTTTTCCTCAGCAGCTTCCCCTACCTCAGCCTCTGGACCATTTTAGAACACCAACACTATATTTATGTTTTCCTACCATTAGGATGAGTAGGGTCTGAAATGTTTGAGATAAAGATGAAAAAGGTTCAGGTTAGGGTTAAGTTCAGCACCTGGTGGTGTAGGGGAAAAGTTTGCCATGAGGGGCAGTTCTCCTGGGTAAACACACTATTCCTCAGTTTTTTTCACAAGCCCTTATTGTTACACATTATTAGAGAATGAAGTGTTGATCCCTTTCTAACATCCTTCATTCCCCCACTTCTTTATGCCCCTTTTACCTACACATCCCAGCTGGCAAGGTGCTATGAAACCTAGTACTCCTGCATTTTTCCCATTTCTCAGTTAACTGAATTTTCCACCTATGCTGTCTCACCAACTAGCATCACTCCTTGCCAGGGGGAGGTACCTCTATGTCAGACAGACTGCTCAATTCCTGCTATGAGACCTGCCCAGCCCCCAACTCCTCCTCTGGTCCCTGTTATTGGTAGATCAGGACTCTTGTCACCCCTGGCTGTCAACTCATAGAATCATAGAATAGCAGAGTTGGAAGGGGCCGTTAAGGCCATCGGGTCCAACCCCTGCTGTTGCAGGACACCAATTTATACCATCCCACTCAGAAGACAGTCCAGTTTCTTTCTGAGTGTCTCTAGTGTGGGAGAGCCCACCACCTCTCTAGGCAGCTGGTTCCACTGCTGTATTGCTTTGACAGTGCAGAAGCTTTTCTTGATATCTAGCCTGAATCTGGGTTGTCACAACTTGAGTTAATTATTCCATGTCCTACACTCTGGTATCAGTGAGAAGATATCGTGACCTTCCTCTTTGTGGTACTTATAAAGTGATGTCGTGCCCTCTCAGTCTCTCCTTATAGGGCAAAGTCCTAGATCATTGTTTCCAAAGTCTAGATCATTTTTGTTGCCCTTCCTGGGACCCTTTCTAACTTCACCTTCTGATGTGCTATTTCCCCATTACCGAAGAGTGGTTGGCTGTCACCCCATTGGCCTGAACTAACAACTTCTCTCATTGCTCCCCAGACATTCCCTGACCTTGATGTGATCCTGGAGCCTGCTGAGATTTCATAGCCATTTTGTCTTCATGGTCTGAGCTTAAATTCCCACCAAAGCTATAGACTGCTCATGTGCATTCTGGCACCTTGCTCCATTGCCCACATACAACAAAGTTTCTGCTTGGAGTCCTGACTGAGATGAACTCAGTTTTGCAATGGCCACCTATGTAGTTAATTTCAGTCACTTTGGAAATAACTAAACATAAAGAACAACTGACACAGCAAGATTTGTGAAAGTAGTTGGGCTCGGCAGTTGTAATGGTCGATTTTGTTACATTGAGAGGTGTATTAATTCAAACTGAGCAACTGTAAAATTTACATTCAACAGGGAACCATAAAACATAGTATATTTTGACGCATTACATTAAACCATCATAGTGTTACCCAGTAAAAGCCTGAGTAGCAACTGCCTGGAGGGTGTTAATTATTTATGAAGAAAAGAAGTACTTAATCAGGTTGTTCTCCCTGATGATCTATGGTTAGAGAGAGGTGGAAGTATCATCCTCCTGGATCTCTGATTCTCCTGAATTTCCCTGCTGATTCTTCTGGATCTCTCAGTAGTTTGTGATACTACTAGATATTTATTTATTCTATTATTATATTTCTATTCCACCTTTTCCCCTCTTGCAAGGAGCCCAATGTAATTCCTCCTCCTCCTCCTCTTCCTCTCCATGTTATCTTTACAACAAACTGGTGAGGTAGGTTAGACTGTGTGTTAGTGACTGACCCAAAGTCACCCAATAAGCTTCATGGTTAAGTGGGAATTAGAACCCAGATCTCCTGTGTCCCAGTTCTACGCTCTTAACCACTACACCTCACTGGCTCTCAGCTATGGTGATTTGGGGACATTGCTGTGTAAGGGAATTCAACTTCCTGGGGATCTAAAATTAACCAACATGGTGACCACAGTCCTGAGATCAGGAGGCACATAGCACCTGGGAGATGCTATGTCCAGCATGAATAACATCTGCAAGAGTAAAGACATCAGCCTCTCTACCAAGTGCAGATTAGTCAACACAATAATTTTTCCAATTGCTACATCTGGTTGTCAGATTTGGACTCTGAAAAAGGCAGATAGAAGGAGGATGGATGCTTCTGAATCGTGGCACTGGAGATGACTATTGTGTGCCCCATGGTCTGCAAAAATCACAAATCCTATACTAAACCTCACCAAAAATATCAATTGAAGCCAAGATCACCAAACAAAGACTGTCACACTTTGATCAATACATGAGAGATGATTCATTCAAAAAATCAATCATGGGAGTGATCAGTGGGAAAAGGACAAGGGCCTGGCTCAGCACCTGTTGTCTGGACACCGTAAAGAAAGACACTGGGATGGACATGGTGATCTTGAAGGAAGCAGCAAGACAGAGAGGCATGGGGAGCAATGATCCACAGCGTGGCCAAGGGTCAGACACAACTGAATGGTCAGTGCTGCCACTGCTGTGCTTTGAATAAACTGCAGTCAGGCAAGAAGGTCCCAAAAGGCGATACAGGGAGTTTCAGAGGGCTTTTCAACCCAAGGCACTTATTCTTCATTCACAGTGTTTTTCAGGTACTTTATATAACACTGTCATCCTCTAGGACCTCTTCTGTTCTTTGCAACCTTTGTTGTTTTGTTTGTTTGTTTTCCTTTTTAGGAAAGTCTGC